AGGTACATATGCGAAAACGCAAAAAAACCCTTTTTAAATTTTTTTTTTTTTTTTTTTTTAGAGAATAATTGATTTGATTTGAGAACGAAATTTAAATGCACGCTATATTTTTCGTAAAAAGGAGATTAAATCAAACAAAATTAATAATAATCTACAAAAAATTGTTTTAAAAAAGGATTGAAATTTATTCTGTATAATTTAATTTACAATCTTCGAAATTGATAAGTAGTTGCATTTAGATAAAACTGTTAAAAAAATAATAGAGCTTTTAGTCCAGTAATAATCCTAAGTTAATTTTGTTCTGTATAATTTAATTTGCCATCTTCGAAATTAACAAGTAGTTGCATTTAGATTTTCGATAAAACTGTTAAAAAAATAATAGAGCTTTTAGTCTAATAATAATCCTAAATTAAAACCTTATATCAAACTCTGCTCTATTTTATAAAAAAAAAATGTGGATAATTGATTTTTCCAATTAAAAATATATTGGCTACATCTTATTTCTCTCTCTCTCTCTCTTTCTCTCTCTCTCTCTCCTAAATCAACGAAAAAAATCATAACTCCTATCATAACTTACGATTTTGCAACAGATTTAACACGTTTTCGCTATCGCTCACATATAATTAATATAATTGATTTTAATGATAATTTTGTATAACAATTAATTTATATATAATTAAAAATATACGTATCATATATCGAGTAGAAGCAGATTTTCTTTGACACGATAACGTGCCAAATCTACTCCGCAACGCAAAATGCATTAATTGATAGATACCGGAGTCAGCATGCTGCCGTTGATTCTTCTGCTGATCGGTTGCCTATTGGCCTTTGGCGCGACGGTGATCTCGGTGATGCTGATGATGTATCGACGTCGCGGTACCACGTCGCCCGTGCACATTGAGCCCTACATGAAACAGCCGATAATCACGCCGCCGGACTCGAGGAACAATTCGATGCTGGACGTGACCCATGGCGACCACACGTATTTCGTCGAGTACACGTTGAAACAGGTCACCGATTACGCGCTCAATAATCAGCCGGATATCATACAGTCCCCGCAAGGTAATAGACTCTCAGGAGACTTATTATCTCGATTTCTAACTTGATCCCGCCGAATTAAATATTCATCGCGGAGAATCGTCTAAAAAAGAGAATATATGTCACACAAAAAAGAGAGAATTATTTTAGAAATGTATAGGATATCAGAAATTAGTCTTATAATACAATTTCTTTGTCATTGATTAAAAATTCGATTAAATTCGTCATATTAAGTACTATTTTAAATCCCAACGGTATTTCGCGATGGATATTCCTTGTCAAATAACGAGTTCTAATTTGAGTTGCTAAGCATAAAAGAAGCAGATGAAAACTTCGCTTAAAATAAGAATGAAAATTTTAGAACCTCTCTACTTGTCACAATTGTTGGCATAAAAATTAATTTTTTTTTTAAACGCCGTCTATTTATATTAATTTCTGTCCTCATGTCAGCGTTTTATATCAATTATTTGGAAACTGTTCTATATATAAGGTAAAATATAATGTGTAAAATTGACGAAACGAAATTGTGCGAATATTTCAGACCAAGACAAGATCAAACGCGAGCCACAACTGTTTCTGCCAGTGAGACCGGACACGTTATTCGCGCCCTACGATATTCATAAGCAGGGGCTGCAGACGAACAGATGCAGCGTAAGTCATTTCAAAAATGATATATCATAGTCCAGTAAAATAGTATCTGAAAATGGCAAAACGGATAGACAAGCCAATTTTTTGAGGATGAGTGGAAGGTCATAGGAGATGCCCGAATTCACAAAGTTCCAACAAAATTTCCCTGTGCGTCGGCGGCCATCTTCAAAATAGGGGTAAGTTTGGATATCTCGACTCCTATTGGTCGAATTTTTTTCCTTTTTTTTAATTTTGTAAGAAAAAATATTTGCTACAACTTTTGTATGAAAAATTTTTTAATAGCTGCCAAGGAAAAAAAGTTACAACCAAAAAAATGCCGTCAATTAGGGGTTGAACATTTTTATTGACAATTACATTGTCCCATGTTGGTTTTATCAAAAAAATGTTCAAATAAAACTTGTAGAGGACTCAATTCTCTACAATTTTTGTATATCCGCTTTTGCGGTGACTCAAAAAATACCAGAGATAGAGGGCGCCAAAGTTGACTATGTCTAGTAAATGCTATTTTTCGTGGAGAAAATTCTCGTTTTTATTGTGAATTGTCGTACATTAAAACTCTTTTCCGCACCACCACTGAAGTAGAGTTTCAGGCGCATTTTTTTTTTTTT